CCCCAGCCAGCATGCTGGCTGGGGACAGCAGGGAGTTGAAGTCCACACATCTTAAAGTTGCCAAGTGTGAAAAAAACACTGCATTACACTGTACTGGCTGATTCCTATACTCATCCATACAAGAAGAGTGTAAGATACAAGGAACTACCAGCAAAACATGCAGCATTCATATAGAACTAGAAAATGCCATGCATTTTGGCCTATGGTTGTTTTTCCTTTCATCTAATATTCATAGGAACCTTTGAGAGGCCAAAGAAGAGACATTGGTGGGTGGAAACGGCCTGTTCTTTCTTTATATGTTCACCCAAAAGGTTCAATACCACATACAGAATGATCTGCTCTGCTTCTTATTTCTTGAGACATTTGGAAAAAGAGAACCAATAGCAGAGGGCTTGTGCTGTTTAAGCCAAGAAGGAAGGGAATATTCCAGATTGCTCCATAGCACGGAGGCCTTGGAAATGTGTGTGTGGTGTGTAAATATAAATGCAATTTAATAATTTTAGATTCTAGAATGGAGGGGTGTCTAGCAGGGGGACTGTTCAAATAGTCAGGCATGTTACTGTGTTTAGTTCAGAATATTTTCAGGCAAGCCAGCAGCTACTTTGGTGCCCTGAAATTTGCCCCGAGTCCCATTATGTGCTACAGGCATACCTCGGAGATATTGCGGGTTTGGTTCCAGACCACCACAATAAAGCGAATATCACCATAAAGCGAGTCCCACAAATGTTATGGTTTCCCAGTGCATATAAATGTTAATGTTTACACTAAACTGTAGTCTATTAAGCGTGCAATAGCATTGTGTCTAAAAAGCAATGTACATATCTCAGTTAAAAAACACTTTATTGCTAAAAAATGCTAGTCATCATCTGATGGGCTTGCTTGATGCAGGGTTGCCACACACCTTCAAGTTATAAAAAACCCCCGCAATATCTGTGAAGTGCATTAAAGCGAGAGATGCTTGTATTCTAGAGCAGAGCTCTGAAGGACCCCTTGGATTTGAAGATGTTTAAATCCAAGGGCCCCTTCAAAGAACAACTGCATAGCTGCTGCCCTTTGGTCTAAAAGGGGTTCTGTACATGCCCAGAAACTCCTTTCCATCTGATTTAAACAGCCAGTTCCATGGGGTTGGCTTGCTTTGATGCTTCCAGCTGAAGCAGAGAGATCAGATGCTTTCAGACAAGGGACCACCTCGAATCCAATTGTGCCAAGAGTCTAGATCAAAGTGACAAAGAGAGTAATTTTGCATCAGCCACACACACACACCGATTCTCCATGTTCCAAGGACACATGATATCTTGGCTGTATCTGAAGAGCAGGCTAAACAAAAACAAGCCAATTGCATTGTGGCTAAGCAGAACATGCAAACCTCATCAATGGTGGTTTAGTCAACGAATGGGAAAGCAAACCATGGCTTAGCTTGATAGGGGAAACCTTCCATGCTGTGATTTTTAATGTATTACACAAACACACAGAGCAACAACATCTTGGTCACTTGGGCATTTAACAACACCTTGCGTAGCAAGTGGGAGTAACTCTGTCCAGTTGAGATACCAAAGGCATAACATTTTGAAGGATTTACCTATTTGGCTATTCAATATTGGTTAGCTAGTTTCTCCTTCACCTCCCCAGCATCTACAGATCAGAGAAAGTTTTGGCTCAACAAGATCCTTTCCTTTCTTTCCAAATTCCACTGCATCTTTCTGCTTCAACTTACCGTTGGAGGGGGAGACTTGTCCCAGCTGTGAGATGTTTGGAGAGGAATCGTTGGAGGTGTGATTTGCCTGGAAATCCATTCTTGGAGGGCGCACTAGAAAGCAATTAGATCCCAGGGGTGGTGAGAAGTTGGTGAGGTGGGGTCATGCGGAAGAAAGGAGAGTGGAGCTGAATCCCCGGGAGGTGCTGTTTCATGCCTTCCACGTTTTCTGTTTCCCGAGACCGAGAGGAGCAGTTGCTCCTGCTGCAGAAGAGGAGAAGCACGCACACACATACCCACACGCTTCTCTGACTTTCTTGCTTTCTGTACCGCCTTCTGAGCAAGCCAGTGCCAGCCCATCTTTGTGCATTTTTGGAAGAACTTCGCTGCTTAGCTTGGAAACAAGGACTTGAGCTGTGTCTTTAAGCCCAAATCATGTTTGCTGTAAAGGTGGGAAGCTGAAGGTGCGAGCCAGTGTTGGCCAACCCTGGCCGATTCCAGGTTTAATGAGTTATCCCTAGTCTAGTTTAATAGCAGTTTATTGAATTAAGCCAGCGGGTTGGGTTTGCATGGAAGACCGAGCTAGAAACTAGCCAAGCACATTTTACTAGAGGGTGTTGTGCAAATCAGCAGGTGGAGGAGGGGCTGGGCAAGAAGGCTTTGGAAAGCCCCCTCCCCAAGGTCTTTCCTCCTCTTTGCTGCATGGCTGGGTGCCCAACTGGGGAGTCTTCCAGCTAATACGATCAAGTAGTGGAGGGCGTGAAAGGCTTGTGTCCTCTGGAGCAGAACTGCTCAGCACTCCTTACAAACCACAGCGATAAGGTTCAGAAGATACACGAAACCCAAGCTACGCCACAGTGTGGCTTTGTTGGTTATGCATGCTAGACTGGCTCTTTTCCCCCTGAAGTCTGCATTTCCGGAGCGTAATCTGTCAAGGGTATCCTGTTGACAACAAGTGAGCTACAGGCATCACTCTGTGGGGCTGGAGGCCAAATTGAACAGTGTAATCTTCACTTCCACTCATTTATTCTGCCACCCACCACCTCCCTCCTAACCTCACCCTATACCAGTGTTGTCCAAACTTGGCCACTTTAAGATGAGTGGACTTCAACTCCCAGAATTCCCCACCCCAGCATGCTGGCTG